CTACGCTGCACCGGACTTCGCGTGGCTGGAGGCAAAGCCAGCTGCCTGGCTGCAAGCCACGTCGGACACACCATCGGCAGCTCCGTCGGCTGCCGCCCCGTCGGCCGCCGCCCCGTCGACCACCCCGTCGACCACCCCGTTGGCCGCCGCCCCGTCGGCCGCCCCGTCGGCCGCCGCCTCGTCGGCCTCCCCGTTGGCCTCCCCGTCGGCCGCCGCCCCGTCGGCCGCCGCCCCGTCGGCCACCCCGTCGGCCGCCCCGTCGGCCACCCCAGCAAAGGCAAAGGCTGTGCCCCCCTCACTTCAGCCACGGCCGTTGGACCCTGACTTGCAGCTCACTGATGTGGACTGCAAGCACAGCGTGCTCCTGGTGGCGTGGGGGCACAGGGTCGAGTACATGCTGGGTGGCCGAGCCTAAGCTGACTTTGGTTTTGTTTGTGCTGTGTGCTTTTCACAATGTTGGGTTATGCTGTTCTAGACAGCGCGCAAAGCCAATGACAGGGAACAAGTGCTTGCGGCGACTTTTGCTTTCTGTGTTTCTTTCTGGTCTGCTCAGGAAAGGCTAAGGGGTCGGACGTTGAAACCTGGCTGAGACGTGTCCTGGCAATGATTTGTTTCGTTGGCCAAGGGCAGATTCTTGCTTCACGCTTCAACGGTGCTATGGCACTATTTGTTGTTTGTCTTCTAGCTCAGGCGACGCTCCGTTTGCTGGTAAGAAGCCCATTGTGCACCTTTCTCTTGACGTCACGCAGATTTGGCCGGCTGATGAGTCGCTCAAATTCAAGAGCGTCGGATTTACGGCTGCAAGCAGTCATGCGTTCTGCTTTTTCTTGGTTACTTTCAGATGTTTTAACCTGAGCGTTGCCCACCGAGGAGATCCCAGCAAATCGTCGGACGCCTTGCAAAGGATTCTGTACGCCGATCCTGGGAAATCCAGTGCGGCCACTGCGTACGTCGTCGGACTGATTCGGAACCACATGGGGCTGCGCGGCACGGAGAGTGGGATGGAGACGTCGGACCTCGTCGTCTCCATCCACTGTGGCTAGGACTTGTGAGCCTCATATGATTTGCTGTGTGTTGATGAGCTTCATAGTTTCCTGGAACGGGACTCTGAGGCACCAACGGCAGACACAAGTCTGCAGCCGTTGCAGTGGCCGCGAGCCACTTGACTGGGGCTGCTGTTTGGCTGCTCAGCCACGTCGAGCCCTTTCGTCGCTTGACAGAGAAAAGCTATATGTTTGTCATAGATTGGCTTAGTGTGTGTTTCTTTGTGGCCCAGGCTGCTGACTAACGAATCAATGAGTCATGGCTTTTCTTGCCGCAGGAGACGTCGGCAGCAGCCTGAAGCAAATCAGTCGGCGTCTCTACTACACGCCGGACTTGCTTCACCTCTTTCACATGGTTAAGGCGAAGTGCGTGCCGCCTGTCAAGTTTATTTGCTTGCGTCTTTTACTTTTCTTTACTTTTCTGGCGTTTGCAAACGCTAGCGTCCAAAGTTGGCGTCACGCTGCCGAGGGCTTCTGCCCCCCCACCGTCGGACAATCGAGATGACCCCGAGTTCGACAATGACGCTTTCCTTGTTTTTCAGCACCTCTGTACATTTGCTTGTTGTGAGCAAGCCACAGGTCTCATGGTGAAGATTCGCAATTTGTCCTGGGCTGGCCCAAGGTTGTGGAGATGATGAACACTCTAGCGCCGGACATGGCTTGGGCATTGAAGTCACTGCATGTGGATAGAGGGGCCTACATCGACGCACGCCTTGTCAGAAGTGTTTTTGTTTTTGTGTTGCGCTTGCTACAGCTACGATATTGCTTGCCCCCTGCTGCCCTGCTGCTCAGGGCATGCTGGCCTTCATGAGGTCGTCGGACGAGGCCTGGACGATGGCCATGGAGTTCCTCCAGACCTTGAAGCGCTGCTTGGCAGCAGCTCTTTACCACGCTTTGCTTTGCAGCTTGCCAAGCCTGAGTTGCAGATTCAGCACTCCGCCAAAATTACGCAAGCTAAGCAAACTTGGCTTCTGACTAGCCCCTGAAAATGGGATGTCATGTTCATGTCGTTTGCCGCTGGTTTGATGTCGTTTTGATGTCGTTTTGATGTCAGTTTTGTGTCTTGTTCCCGCGTGGGAAAACGACATGAACACGACATCAAAACAACATCCAAACAACATCAGAACGACATCAAAGGAGTTCAGGGACAGTGATGGCAGACACATGTCTGAAGTCTGAGAGCAGTCCACCCATGGCCATGAGTGGCTGACGTCAAACTGAGCACACATTGTTGAACACAGTGTTGTTGGGGCCTTGCAGGGCACGTCATTTAGCAGATGAATCGGCCTTATTTGGGGCACGTGGCTTCCTTGGACTCATTTTTCCAGCCAGGGTAAAGCAATTCTCAAAATTCCGACAGCGCACGAGAGTAGTGTAGAGACTTCTGGGTTGGAAAGCGCAGCTGCCAGCTGTACCAAGGTGAGGTCGGCAACCACGACGCTTCTTCGAGGTTCCGCAACCCGTCGGCCGTTGTCGCCAAGTTCCTCACGGAGAAAACAAACTATATCCGTGACGCGGCGCCCAGGGGCAACAAACAGACGTGGGCGAGTGCTCCTGCCGGAGGCTGGCGCAACTACAGCGCTCGGTCTGGGCGCTCCGACTGGAGCCAGCATGGCTGATGTCGGACGCATGGCTGACGTTGGACATTGGTCGGACATTGGAAAAAGGTGCTCAGGGAGGGGCAGGGCGATGGCAACCCGTTGGTGAAGCCAGCGCCATGCATGGGCCCTTGATGCCAGGTATGCCTCCAGACCCAGTGCTACAAGGAGGCTGGTGCTGCCACGTGTTGGTGTGCTTTGTTTTGGCGGTTTGACATCTCTTGCTGCTGATCTCTCGAAGCAAGTTGCCGTCATGAGCTTGACACGCGCGTGCCTGATTGCACCATGTTGCAACGATGTTGGTAGCAAGGCCCTCCCTCAGCTGCAACTTAGCGAAGCCGGTTCTGTGCAGGAGCAGGAGACTGGATGCGCTCTGCTGTCGGACTTTGGACCTTTGGTGAGCTTGGGAAGCAAGCCAAGCGTCGGCCCGCATGCCCTAGCCGTCGGACTTAGCTCGAGGTGCGCAACGTGGGCCTTAAGCAGCAACGAGCTGACGATTTGTAAGCCTTTTTTTCTTTGTCTTTCCTGTGATGCAGCGATATCCAGCCCCAAAGCCATTGGTCATGCCCCTGCCGTCGTGCGGGAATTCTTGTTTATCACCCTGAAAGGTAGGCAACAACAATGCTCCTTGTTGTGAGATTTGTGGATTCAAGCCCCGCCCCGCCCCAGCCCGTGCAAGAGGCCTGACGCCGCTGTCAGACTTGCCTGTTATCTCACCAAGCGTGTAACTGTTTATCACTCACAGCTGCAAGTGCCAGGTTGGGAGCAGCTGGGCGCAGCTGGCTTTGTTTCAGGCCAGGATATGGGGCTGGCGTGCTTCTTGCAGGTGCTAGAGCAGTTGCGGTTTAGGCGTCTTGCCTTTTCTGACGTTTGGCTGCCTTGCTTGTGTTTATCGATTGTTTTGCTGAAACTTTGGTGTGCCTGGTGCAGAGCGCAAGCCATATTTTGCTTCGTGAGCCTTCAAGCATTCAAGCTTTGCCTTGCGCTTGCCAATCTCCCGTCGGACCATGGCTGCTCCGTCTCCGTCGGCCGGCGCTGCTCCAGTGCCAGTGGTGGTGGTGGAGGATGTCCCTATGGCGTCGGACGGGACAGCAGCCGGGCCTGGCTGGACGTCAGACAGTCGTCGCCCGGCAGCCAAGGCTCGCCCGGCAGCCAAGGTTCAGGCAGCGCCCTGCCTGCCGCCGGACTCCGACAGTGACGAGGACCTCTTCCTGACGCCGGACGGCCACTTCGATCAGGTGCGCATCTTCACCTGGGGGGCGGAGAAGGAGTACCGCGGCGAGCAGCATCAGGGCAACTTGGCCAGGCATTGCTGCCGGGAAGGGCTTTGAGAGTTGCCTTTGCTCTTAGGCAAAGTTGCGGGCAAGCACCTTGTGCCCGGGCTGCTCAAAGGCCTGGGCTTTCAACCGCTAACCGAGTCGCAATATTTTGAAAAATGCACCCCCTTTTTTGCTTGGTTTGCAGGCTGGTGGCCGCACGCGCAGCACACGTCGGTCGATGCGCGGGGGTTTTGGGACAAAAACCCCGACGTCGGACTGGGCACTGTGAAGGGCCGCGGCCGTGGCCGTGGCCGCGGCCACCCGCGGCCTTGGTACATGCACAGTCTCTTGTCAGGTGATGGTACCTTGTTTCGATGTTCCTGCTTTCTTGTTGTTTCGGAACAATATCAAACTATGTAGTTACTTATAATGATTTTGTTCATACCTGTGTAAGATGGCGTCTTCTATGACACGGACGCCGTTGTGCATTGCCTCATGGCCGGCGGACGGGCGGCGGTGGTCCTTGTGGCCTACTGCTGCATCCAGGTGCTCCAGTTTTTGCACCTGGCGTCGGACGAGGCCTTCCGCCGCGAAAGCGCGGCGGCGCTGGAGCTGGTGCTGTCCCTGTTCTGTGCCCTGTCACCCTTTGCATCTGCGCAAGTCTGTTGACAGTTGTGGTCAGTGAGCCCCTTCAACACAATCTTCTTCTCACCTCTGCTCAGGTACTGCAGGGAAGCACCGCTCCGTGTCGGCTTCTTTCGCCGTCGGACAGCTGTGCCGCTGCACCTTCGCCAACCTCCGGCCGGACGACAAGCGCTTCGCACGCAAACCCTGACCTCTCCTGCTCTGAGTTTTGAGAAAGTGTGTTCCAGCGTTTCGTGTATTTCTGCTTCGCAATGTTGCACACATTTGCATTTCTGTGTGGGCTAAGGATTCCCAGGCGCTGGGATGATTGGAACATCGTCCGCGGTCTGACTCCTGCGCTCAAGCCCTTCTACACGGCTGTCGTCGGACTGGTGAAGTGACTCTGGCTGCAGTTTGAACGGCCAAGCAGCACCTGTTGACTTCAAGAGATAGGCGTTGCCATTCTCAAACAAAGTTTTCATGATGCGAGGCCTCGTCCATCGCCTGCCATGGCCTCTTCCACCACGCCGGACACGCCGGACACGCCGGACACGCCGGACACGCCGGACACGCCGGACAGGCCGGACAGCAGCAGGCCGGACGAGTGTATCCGGATGGCCACCAAGCAAGCCCCTTGTCCTTTTCAGCAGCTTTTTGACCAGTCAGCCAGTGAGCCAGTTATTTCAGCCAGTTGGCATTGAAACTATTTTGCGGCTCGCGGTGTACAAATCAGGTCATGGCGCAGCTGAGACAGGAATTGCCGGCTGTGTTCATTGCCCTGCAGAAGCTCAAAGTCGACGACGATGTCTACTCGGATCCTCAGCGTGGTGTGTGTTCTGCAAGGGTGTGGACGCTTTGAGTGTGCCTTGACATGAGAGTTTGGTATTCTCCCTTCACTGAGGGCTTCTTGGCTCTTGCTGAGCACTCCGATGAGGGCCGGCAGCGTGCCCTGGAAATGGTCTCCAAGATGCAGCGTGCCTGGGCTTGTCTTTCCAGCTTGCAAACCAATTGCCTGATGTGCGCCACACGCCCTTGGCTGAGGCGAGGCCTCGTCGGGGGATGCGCGGTGGCGCAACCCGTCGGCCGTCCTCTCCAAAACCATCCGCAGCATCATGGATGAGTTTCACAGGAGGAGGGGTGTTCCGTCCAACACGTCGGGCCGGGATCGCGCGGCCATGGAGCAGAGCCGCAAGCGGCGACGCTGACGTCGGACAGTGCGCTTGACCCTCCCTTTTGATTTTTGCGTTGGCCGCGGGCAAAGGGTCCGTCGGACAGAGTGGCCGGCGTCGAAAAAGAGTGATTCGCGCTTGATGTCTCACCTGAACCCCTCAGCGTGCATGCATGTTTTGTGGCTGATGCTTGTTTGCGCAGGTGCTCACTATCACCAACGGCCTCACGTTCCGCGGCGCCCCAAGAAGTGCCAGAAACCTTCACACAGCCCATGTTACTCACCGTTGTGGCGCCACAGTGCTGCTTTTGTCTGTGGCTTGTCAGTTGCTTAGCGTGCAGCCAGCTGCCAATGGCCGTCGGACCTGGAGGCTTAGCCGAGGCACAGGCGAGAATTGTGCCACATGAGCCTGAAGAGGAAGGCCAGCGTCAGACGGAGTTCTTCACATTTGAAGTAAGTTCCACGAAGCTAGTTGCAGCATGGCAAGAATTGCGAGCAGCAATCCCAGATTCATGTGTGTTGCCGTTGCTTGTTGAGTGTCTGAGGTATTGCTCGAGGAGGACGGCGTTGGGCAGTGGGAGCTCAGGCGCTGGCACCACAGACACAGCTATGTCATCAAGAGGGAACTTTATCACCGTGTTCGTACAAGCCAAAAGGCGCCCCTGCCAGCAAAACCAACGGCTTTGCTGATAGTGAATGGGTGCTAAGAAAGGTTTGGTTGTCCAGCTTTTGGTCCATCCCATCGATTCCTAGGCATGGGTGTCCCAGTTCCACATGATTTGGCCGGACTTGCCTTTGCCACCCTTGATCATCCCAGAAGCCTGGCGTCTGCCAGCCAGAAAAGCAGGCGCCTCCCCAGGTAGCAGCCTTGGGTCCAGGCCATGCAACAGTGTCTGACCAGACAGCTCCGACGGACCAAGTGGCATCAGACCAAGCCCCGTCGGACCAAGCGGCGCCAGAACAGGTCTTGTTCAGTCAGGCGCGCCGTTGGTATTCAGCTGACATCCGTCTGCTTTTGGCCATTCAGCTCTGGGACTGCATAGGGCGGCCAAGGCAAAGAGAAGGGGTCTCTTTATTGAATTCATTTGACCGCCGGAGACAGCACACTGTCGACCCAGAGGGCCTTGAGTTCATGCAAGACTTCTTGAACACTGCAGCTGCCAAACTACAGTTCCAGATTCGCTTGCCGTGCCCGTTTCGCCACTGGCAACTTACAAAGCAGCAGCTTTGGTACTTTCTAACTCAAAGCCGCGCCGCGTTTTTAAGCAAGTCGTGTTTGCTCCCTACTAGCCAGCTGCGTAAATTGCAGGAGTCGGGCAGCCGCGTGGGCAGGACCCCAACCTTGTCTGGGAAGGGCCTGCACAGCCTGTGCGCAGCAGCCCCGTGCCTTCTCAGCAGTCATGACAGCAGGCAAAAGCTGAGCGCAGACTGTGCTTTACGGCATGTGTCACCTTCGATCAAGCTAACTCAGTGGGGCGGGCTGGAGAGGGGGGCTAGTGCACTGTTGCCTTTGGTTTTGATCCGCTGTGAGGGTGGCCACCTTTTGCTTGACAACGTCCTTCACTTGGCGGGCAGTGAGGATGCAGACCCTCTGCTTTGCGCCCTGAACGCCACTTGGAACATGATCTTTCGCGGGGAGTTCGACTCCCCTGCCGGACTGAAGGTGGCCACGCCGGACATGACGGTGTGCAAGCTTGGCGACTTTGTCGCCTTCTGTGCCAGTCACGGCTGCTCCCCCAAAGCAGGCACCGGGCGCATGCTCGGGCTTGCTGTGCTGCTGCTGCAACAGGTGGGGGATGCCCTTGCGTTGGACCAGTTCAGGACGTTTGTGCTTGAGGCTTGAAATTCCTCATAAAATTCCCCCATCGTGTCCTGTGTGTTGGGAAGTCTTCATGTTGCGGCTGGCTTCATCTCACAGTGTCAAGGCTTTGCAAGCAACCCCTTTTTTCCCAAGGATGCTTTCCAAGTGCACGTCAGACGACCTGCCCCTGATCCGCATGATCCAGCAAAAGCAGCCGTCGGACCAAAAAGATGACTTGGGCCAAGAGCAGCGTGATGCTGGTGAGATCGATGACCGCATCTACTGCCTCGCTTCATTCAAGGAGACGTGGGACATCCTGAGCCGCGCAGCGTCGGACCATTGTCGCAAATCCTTGTGCATTGTTGCTGACGCAGGCGATGTCGCAGGTGCGCCGGTGGAGCTCTTCTTTGCCTACTCGCCTGTCTGTGAACGCGGGGCGTTGCTTCCACACCAGGTCGGGGGGGAGCTTGTTCGTCCCCGCTTGCCAGGGCCTTTTTCAGGGCTCTGCTTAGGACTGCTGCCGCGCAGCCGAGTGATGCAGCATTTTGGCTTTCGCATTTGTTTAGGGCAACTCTGCCTGCAGCAATGGCATTCTCGGTGCGCTCAGGGTCCCTTGCGTCGGACACAATGAGCTTTGGACCCTTTGCCGGCGGGGAAAAGTTCAAGTCCAACGTGAGTTACGTTGGGCAGCTGGAGGCCAGCTTCGTTGGAGTCTGCCTGGAGCTCATGAGCCCGCAGCACTTTCCCAGGCAGATTACCGCCGGAATGGACTGGAACAGTTTGTTCCAGCTCTGGGCCTTTTGCACAAAGCAGTGGCCGTGGGACCCGCTGGCATCCAACTTGAAAGCCGCCGTTGCACCTTGCCAGCAATATGGGCTGGGTCTCTTTGTTGATTTGCTTGGTGGGGTTTTTGGCTTGTGAGGCAAAAAGAGTTCCCCTGTTCAAGTGGCCTAGGGGTCCGGACTTGTTGGTTGCGTGTGCTTTCTTGGGGTCCGAGCCAAACGTCTTTTGAACGAGTCCGAAAGTGCTGAATTTGCTGCAGGGGCTGTCGTTGTGAGGAATGTGCGAGAAAGCGCCTGCTCCAGTGCTTTTCTGCTAGACCTGTCCTGTTCAGTGAGCACAATTGATGTTGCTGCAGCTGCAAGTTCATTTTGCGTGACGGGCGCGCGCTTTGAAGTGATTTAGTAGCTAGGAGCTTCATGACAGGCGCAGCATGTTAAGGACACGTGACAACACGCACTAAAAGAGGAAGCATGAGACGTCACCCAGATTTGCGGCAGAAAGCGTGAAAGGTGTGACGTGAGATTAGAACATGGGACATGCACGACGCTGGACGTGACGTGGTGAGAGACGTGGCGAGAGACGTAGCGAGAGACGTGGCAAGAAAGGTGAGCTTTTGGTGAGAGACTTGTTGCGCGACGTGCTGTCTTTGCGGCCTGGGGTGTATCTTGAGACATGGTACTTGCAGGGCTGCGCTTTTTATTTAGTTGGTATTTCGCACACACGCTTCCAACCTCTGCTTTTGATTTGGATTGCCTCTGGGCAGGCGCGCCAGGCCTCTTCACGGTGGCAGTCGGAGACGCTGCAGCTGTTCCAAGGCTTTGGTGGGATGCACAAGGCCATTGAGTCGGTGCGCCTAGGGTATTGTAGTCATTGTTTAATGTTTGTCTTTCAGAAAATTGTGCAGCGTAAGAGCTGTAGAAGTTGACAGCAGGATGTTTTGAAGCCTGTCCAAGGAAGACCCACTTTGACTCGAACGTCGGGCAGTTTCACCAAGCAATGCAGCTCCGGCACGAGCAGAGTGTGGCACGGAAGCGTCAGAAAATCATGCAGAGCCTTGATCAAATGGCCTTGTTTCTTGGCAAAGCGGAGGTTCCTGTTTTTTGTTCCTATTTGCTGGCTGAGGGCCTCTGGGTTGGGCGGAATGGGCTGCGTTCCCATGCTTCAGCATCCTCTGGCCATGCAACAGCAGCCAATGCAGCAGCAGCCGTGCCTCCAACAGCTCCCCGCTTTTGCCCAGCTGCCACAGCAACAGATGCTGCAGCAGCAGATGCAGGCGCTGCCGGCCCAGCTGCTGCAGCATCTGTCAGACCAGCATCACCAACAGCAGATGCTGCAGCACCAGATGCAGCAGCCGCCGGCCCAGCTGCTGCAGCAACCGTCGGACCAGCATCAGCAGCAGCAGATGCTGCAGCACCAGATGCAGCAGCCGCCGGCCCAGCTGCTGCAGCAGCCGTCGGACCAGCATCAGCAGCAGTTCTGCAGCTTCAGACGCAGCAGCCGCCAGTGCAGCTGCTGCAGCAACCGCCGGTCCTGCAGCAGCCTGCTTCTGCCCACCAGCCACAACAGCAAATGCTGCATTTCCACATGCAGCCGCTGCCGGCCCAGCTGCAGCAGATGCCGCGCCACCAGATGCAGCCGCCGGCCCAGCTGCTCCAGCAGCCGCAAGTCCAGCATCAGCAAGTGATGCAGCCGGACCAAGGGATGCTGCCGGTGCTGGGGCAGCCACCGCTGCAAGCGTCGGGCGAGGGCACATGCCGGGAACCAGGAGGTCAATCATCGCCAAAGGCGTCGGACCAGACACTTGGACAGGCTGCTGATACATCGTCGGATGCGCCCATGCTGCCGCAGCCGATCGTCTTGGGTGCCGTTGCAAAGGCGCGGGCAGGGCAAGCAAGACTCGGAGACCCCCACAAGCAAGGGAAAACCAGGCCTGCCACTTCTTTTTTGACAATCAAATGCAGACGCTCGGTTTGGAAACCATTTGCCCAGAGTCCAGCGTGCTAAGTAGAAGAAGCAGTAAAAATGGTTATGACAAAGCGCGCAGGCGAAGCCTGCCGTGAACACGCGCCTCCGCCAACTGAGGGCGGTCGGCACAATTTAGTTGCTGAGGTAGACGCTGTGGCCTAACCAGTTTTGAAAAGCCGCTGCTGGACCACATGTGAATAAGCAAGCAAAAGCCAGCCAGGGGATTTCACGGGCGGTGGTTAACGTTACAAATTGCTTCTGGCAGATTGTTGGAACTTGGTTCAGCGGCTACACGCAATGTATCTCAAGACGTTGATGGCCTGCGCGCAGCGCGCAAGCTGCCATGGCTGCCCCCTTAGACGCCACCTTTCTGTGGGCCCGCGTTGCACTGCAGAGGGCTTACCTCTTGCTAGGCAGTGGCCTTCGTCGGACTGCGCTCTGCCAGGCGAGGCGCATGTCGTCCCACTGTAGTGGCTCTGGGGCCGCAG